GCACTCAAACGTTACGCAAACATCATAGAATGCCACAACAGTGTATACTTGTGTATACTTGTGTATTCCTTGTTAACAATTTGTGTGAATATGTATTCCTTCCAACTAGAGTACCGTCCAAACTTCTCATCACAAAATGTTACTTTTCTATGATGTAGTTATATCCTCTGTCGTGTCGCTGACATACCCTGGCCCTCTTTAACTCTTGATTGTTAAATCTGTTTCAAACTTTTCGTTTGTGTCTTTTATTGGTTCATGAGTGTCATACAATTAATATCAGTTCCAGAAAAAGAAACATTTTGAAATCACTACCGATTATTTAAATAAAAATGACCATAAGCTAAATGATTGTCTTTCAATAACAGAGATGATTATATTCGATTTGTGGTGCGCATGAGAAACCTTCTGTGTGGGGAGTAATTTATTTGTATTATTAGCAATGTTATCCAATAATATCTAAACTAAATGATCAAACGAACTAACTTATACATAACTTTGTTTCAGATTTGTCATTTTCCATGTATACAAGGAATCCGCCGTATCTCGGCACCTGCTGTGAATTCCATCTATAGAAGTACCACTATTAATTAGAATAGAAGTCACCTACCAAACATCTCAGTAACAGTCGTCAATTACTGTACATCTTAGTAACAGTCGTCAGTTACCAAACATCTTAGTAACAGTCGTCAATTACCGTACATCTTAGTAACAGTCGTCAGTTACCAAACATCTTAGTAACAGTCGTCAATTACCGTACATCTTAGTAACATTCGTCTATAACCAAACATCTCAGTAACAGCCGTCACCTACCAAACATCTTAGTAACATTCGTCAGTTACCAAACATCTTAGTAACAGTCGTCAATTACCGTACATCTTAGTAACAGTCGTCAATTGCCAAACATCTCAGTAACAGTCGTCAATTACCATACAACCTAGTAACTGTCGTCAATTACCAAACATCTTAGTAACAGTCGTCAATTACCGTACATCTTAGTAACATTCGTCAATTACCGTACATCTTAGTAAGATTCGTCAGTTACCAAACATCTTAGTAACATTCGTCTATTACCAAACATCTCAATAACAGTCGTCAATTACCATACAACTTAGTAACTGTCGTCAATTATCATACAACTTAGTAACATTCGTCTATTACCAAACATCTCAGTAACAGTCGTCAATTACCAAACATCTCAGTAACAGTCGTCAATTACCATACAACTTAGTAACAGTCGTCAATTACCGTACATCTTAGTAACAGTCGTCAATTACCGTACATCTTAGTAAGATTCGTCAGTTACCAAACATCTTAGTAACATTCGTCTATTACCAAACATCTCAGTAACAGTCGTCAATTACCAAACATCTCAATAACAGTCGTCAATTATCATACAACTTAGTAACTGTCGTCAATTACCAAACATCTTAGTAACATTCGTCTATAACCAAACATCTCAGTAACAGCCGTCACCTACCAAACATCTTAGTAACATTCGTCAGTTACCAAACATCTTAGTAACAGTCGTCAATTACCATACAACTTAGTAACATTCGTCAATTACCATACATCTTAGTAACAGTCGTCAATTACCGTACATCTTAGTAACAGTCGTCAATTACCGTACATCTTAGTAAGATTCGTCAGTTACCAAACATCTTAGTAACATTCGTCTATTACCAAACATCTCAGTAACAGTCGTCAATTACCAAACATCTCAATAACAGTCGTCAATTACCGTACATCTTAGTAACAGTCGTCAATTACCGTACATCTTAGTAACAGTCGTCAATTACCGTACATCTTAGTAACAGTCGTCAATTACCATACATCTTAGTAACATTCGTCAATTACCAAACATCTTAGTAACAGTCGTCAATTACCAAACATCTCAGTAACAGTCGTCAATTACCATACAACTTAGTAACTGTCGTCAATTACCAAACATCTTAGTAACAGTCGTCAATTACCGTACATCTTAGTAACAGTCGTCAATTACCGTACATCTTAGTAAGATTCGTCAGTTACCAAACATCTTAGTAACATTCGTCTATTACCAAACATCTCAGTAACAGTCGTCAATTACCATACAACTTAGTAACATTCGTCAGTTACCAAACATCTTAGTAACAGTCGTCAATTACCATACAACTTAGTAACATTCGTCAATTACCATACATCTTAGTAACAGTCGTCAATTACCATACATCTTAGTAACAGTCGTCAATTACCGTACATCTTAGTAACAGTCGTCAATTACCGTACATCTTAGTAACAGTCGTCAATTACCAAACATCTTAGTAACAGTCGTCAATTACCAAACATCTTAGTAACAGTCGTCAATTACCGTACATCTTAGTAACAGTCGTCAATTACCGTACATCTTAGTAAGATTCGTCAGTTACCAAACATCTTAGTAACATTCGTCTATTACCAAACATCTCAGTAACAGTCGTCAATTACCATACAACTTAGTAACATTCGTCAGTTACCAAACATCTTAGTAACAGTCGTCAATTACCATACAACTTAGTAACATTCGTCAATTACCATACATCTTAGTAACAGTCGTCAATTACCATACATCTTAGTAACAGTCGTCAATTACCGTACATCTTAGTAACAGTCGTCAATTACCGTACATCTTAGTAACAGTCGTCAATTACCGTACATCTTAGTAACAGTCGTCAATTACCGAACATCTTAGTAACAGTCGTCAATTACCGTACATCTTAGTAACAGTCGTCAATTACCGTACATCTTAGTAACAGTCATCAATTACCGAACATCTTAGTAACAGTCGTCAATTACCGTACATCTTAGTAACAGTGGTCAATTACCGTACATCTTAGTAACAGTCGTCAATTACCAAACATCTTAGGAACATTCGTCTATTACCAAACATCTCAGTAACAGTCGTCAATTACCATACAACTTAGTAACATTCGTCAGTTACCAAACATCTTAGTAACAGTCGTCAATTACCATACAACTTAGTAACATTCGTCAATTACCATACATCTTAGTAACAGTCGTCAATTACCGTACATCTTAGTAACAGTGGTCAATTACCGTACATCTTAGTAACAGTGGTCAATTACCATACATCTTAGTAACAGTCGTCAATTACCGTACATCTTAGTAACAGTCGTCAATTACCGTACATCTTAGTAACAGTCGTCAATTACCGTACATCTTAGTAACAGTCGTCAATTACCAAACATCTTAGTAACAGTCGTCAATTACCGTACATCTTAGTAACAGTCGTCAATTACCGTACATCTTAGTAACAGTCGTCAATTACCGTAACAGTCGTCAATTACCGTACATCTTAGTAACAGTCGTCAATTACCGTACATCTTAGTAACAGTCGTCAATTACCGTACATCTTAGTAACAGTCGTCAATTACCGTACATCTTAGTAACAGTCGTCAATTACCGAACATCTTAGTAACAGTGGTCAATTACCGTACATCTTAGTAACAGTGGTCAATTACCGTACATCTTAGTAACAGTCGTCAATTACCGTACATCTTAGTAACAGTCGTCAATTACCGTACATCTTAGTAACAGTCGTCAATTACCGAACATCTTAGTAACAGTCGTCAATTACCGAACATCTTAGTAATAATCATCCATTCTCAAAAATCTAAGGAACAGTCGTCGGTTACTACAAGTAGGCACTAAGATAGTTGTAAAATACCCATGCATCGAAACAAAAAATGTGATTGATTATGTAGAGATGAAAGTCGTCTATTATGCTGTTTTAAAGTACTAATATTGTTTTATTATGTAATAAATCATAGTAACGGTTTCTGAAAGTATCACTTAAGTACATGTAAATGTATAAGTCAGGTATAAAGGACAGATTCTTAATGTAGCTACATCATATAGCAAGGAAATTACTGCATCTGTATTGAATAACAACACATCATAAATTTTGCTAGTGTTCATAAGGAATACATACCGTTCTCGGGTTCGTGCCCTACGGCTTTCGGCTGTGATCGTATTGGCATGGTGTCTATAAGAAATATTACTACAGTCGAAAGGCTAAGATACATTCCACCAAGAAACACATGTATATCCCCGATCCAAGCGGTTTGAGTTGTATATTTTATTGGCTTTCTAGGCACATTTCAAAGTCGAATTACACTGGATGATTTAGTAATAATGCTAATAATTGATAAGAGGTAATTTGTTAATATCACCTTAAACAAATCGGTAATTATGTTGTCTCGGTTGTCTATAGATATTAACTTTGAAGCACACTTTTCATCAATTATTTGTAGTTTATCTCTCCACAGTTCTTATCATCATATAATATCTGCAATATGCTTGGGTTTTATGATAATATGAAAAATTCCTTGCTTGATTTAGACATAAAATGTGAGAAAATATCTTAGATTTTTAATCTCAGTAGAACGATTGAAAATCGTCCTAACATACTATCGGTATAATCAATATCTATATTCTATAACATTTTATTAATTAATATATACTGATCTAGTCCATCTACTCTAACAAACAGATGGTTATTGATTCCATTTTTTGGAGTATCCGTTTGATTCAAGCTAAAGTTGTGACTTGGTCAATGAATAAGCCTATCGACATATCCTGAAACTGGCTCGTCGATTTTAATGTCACGTATGTAACCTGTCAGATGAGGAAACCCTCCGATGGAGACTGTACATCCCTCCTGTCAACCTGACATACAAAGCATGTATCATCTGCACGAAGGTGGTCAATTAGACACCCATTGCTTAATGGTAGTATCACCATAGGCCAATAAAGTCGTCGTAATCAGTGTGAAATTGAGTGCTCATGTAGTCATATCAAAAAGGATTTGTCAATAAAACCCGCCACCACGACACTGTAAAGGTCCCTGGCGATAGTCGTTTGCGGATTAATTGATAAAAATATCCTTATTACACGCAATCAATTAGCCTGACAAACAATACAACAAACCCCGGATGTATGAAAAACATGCAATGGATACTCACGTTAGGAGAACTGTTGAAAAAATCCAAGAAAATGTGAAAATTGGCAAAATCCACAACACTTTTCCAAGTAACCGATAGAGTGTCAAACACATCCTGACGGTATATTTATCCCTGGCTCTGATGTCCACTGGTGTCGTGACACATGGAAATGTCCCCCTTGCCAGAAACGGAGACGAATCTGCAACGGCAAGAAGCACAGACTCTTAGAATATACAACGACAAATGTCCTGCAGTCTCTCAATAGGTTTGAGGTCCACACGCCGTTCAGTGAGCGGTCTCTTAGATCGATTGGCAGTCCGTGATGTGTCGCATGCCCGTCACACCGTCGAGCTATTAGATATTATAGCAAGTTTAATTAAAACCCCGTATACGATTAGCAGCAGACAACACATAAACACTCCGCTGTAAACAGTTTAAAATACATTAGAAATGTGGGTAGGGAGATGAATATGTCGTGAAATGATCCCAAGTGTGGATAGCATGTTGTAACACTTGGAATGTAGGGTGCTGCAGAGGTTCTACAGTGTACGGAAGCATCTAGCCATCGTTACACCAAAGAGAACTCCGTCTGCGAGATAGTTTCCTTAAAGACTACGGCTTAGTATGTTCTGTGCTGATGCATCCAATATTGCGAATAAGATAACATCCTATACAGTTTACCGAGCAAAGGCAACACACGCATACGACAAGAATCAGTCGGTAACTTGCCTATAAAGATAAACGCTTATTTCTAAAATCCATATTATCTTAAAACAGTAAAAAATATTTGAATTTTAATGCAGGTAGAAGCACCCCTTGTTATTTTTTTTTATATTTATTTACGTTTGTTTCGTCTAATTTCTGTGTGATGCATTAAGAATTGTGTCAATGCCAACACCCATATCTTAGAGTATAGCATGAGTATGTATAGAAACTATGTTAAGCACGATAAAAATCAGCCTAACAAGTGCGTTCCTAATCCGCCTGTTTTTATTACAAGGTTCTCGATATATGTAAGAGATGTGCTAGATTAAGTATCTTTTCTAACATGCAGTATGTTGTAGAACTTCATTAAGAAGTTTTATCAATATCACCATCAATATCTGTAAAAACTTGGCATCTTGAGTTGTTGAAGACAAAACAAAGTCTGTTTCACTGTATTTAAGCGTAATTTTCAATTCAAACGTATTGATAGCATTTACATCAACAAATTTATATATAAATGTATAATATAATACAGTGAATTATTCGGTATATTTATCTCCCTTTTTTACTATACACTGCAAACCACATGCCTACCATATATGTGCTCAATCTGTCTTTTATAACACCTGACACTTTGTTATACCGACAACCAGTCCTATGTATTACACCTGACACTTTGTTATACCGACAATCAGTACTATGTATTACACATGACATTTCGTTATACCGACAGTCAGTACTATGTATTACACATGACACTTCGTTATGCCGACAATCAGTCGTTTGTGCTACATCTGTCACTTCGTTATTACGACAATCATAACTATATATTACACCTGACACTTCGTTATCACTGATCTGTCATCCTTTTCACTGTCCTTAAATATTACCCATAGTGAATACTGCTGACAATTCCGAACGTAATTTTATCATTATCACCATAGCACAGTGGGAATATAGTGTTATATAACGCTATCGCTCTGTCGATATATGTATGAAATACTCGACCAGCTTTTGCCGATGATGTATGATCGATTCTCGGTGCCAGAGTAAGAAATAACACCAGCCTATGTTTCATGATTACCATATATTCCGACGACTGTGGTCCAGTACTGTACCGCTCACGTCCCCAGTAAACAACAAGTCATTGTGACCTTTAGTAGTTACGATAGTAACGTGAAAAAGTGCAGTATAAGTATTTCATCATAAAAACGTGATGTTAAATACTAAAATCTTTGCTTTTATGATTAAATATCTTGCAATTCTGTTTGTTCGGGAACACGACCGGCCACTGTACTATGTATGCTTATATGTTGCGACTAACAGGAAATCAAATAGAATTCAAAATAGATTGCCATTGATACAACAAAATAATACTCGGAAGGTTATGAACCATTCATTTTAGCGGCCTGTGTGGTCATTTCATTTTATACATTGTTAACTGAATGAAATTCGTTGAAATCACTGATGTATAGACATACCCTATCACAAGTAAAGAAGCACTGGTAATACTACTACACACCAATACGCCACGTCTTATATTCAGACAGTTTGACAATGCACGTGTAATGCTACATATGCATAACACGTTATTGACTTTTATAAAGATGTGTCATTCTGACGTCATCTGTACAGCTGAAAAACATGAATGTGGAACATATCAGTTTTCTCAAGCGTTTAATATGTCCAGTTTTAAGTCGTATGGCTATAGAAATGGGTTTCAAGTCCTGTCTCCAAGTTAATCCAAGGCTGTATAGTTGATATTTTAGCATGCCAAGCCTAGAAAGACTCCTGTATCTCAAGATTAGCAACAAACGGCTACATCCAATGTGACAACATTGTTTTACATCCTGTTGCCGAAGGGCCGTGTCCTTGGCCCATATCTCAAAGCAGCGTCCACTCATTGAGAGCTATTATACGTAAAAGTAGAAAAATACAGGAGATTCCAATCTTGTAGAGAATGTGTATTACAATGATTTATTGGTAATTATTACCATTGATTGATTTCACAAGTTCCGGAGATACGTAGAAGTACATTACAAGAATGAGAAGCAATTTTGTTTTTAGTTAGTAAAATAGCTGTACCATTGTGCTGATGAAGCCTAGTGTGGCTAGTCGTAATCAAAAATAGAATCTAGATGTCGATGTTACATGGTTTGATGTTACTGTAATGTTTATATGTAAAATCTACACGGAGCTGAATACTTTGGGTCTCTACAGTACTCTACTACCGACTGACAAGAACCATCTTTACAGAGCAGATCACTTTTACTGTAAGAAATGATTGTAGAAAATACACAAAAATGAAGAGCAAACTTTCAATACTACTTTAGATGTAAGTTAGATTAACAAAACATTGATTTAAATTGCATCATACTGTTTGTCCTTGTAGGACTCGGCAATGATGCAAAGGGTTTATACCTTTATATTAGATAGCGACTATGGAAAACCGAAATTGATCGAAAAGAACGGTTCAGTCTAGTTCGGAAGATGATTTAATAAATTTCGTAATTTTATGTCCAGTAATTTCTCAAAGCAACGTTATGTGCATGTACATACTCGAAATCGTGCCACTATTCGATACAAATATATGGCAATATACTATACTGATGCATATGTCGTGATATACGGAAATGAAATCATCAGAATGATCGAATTTCTGGCTGACTTTATCTTTGTTGAGTTTGATGGTAAGATCTTCCAACAGATTATTGGCATACATATGGGATTCAACTGCGCCCCCTCGTTGGCTGATTTGTTTTTTTGTTTTTATACGAGGCTGCATTTATCAAAGGTTTTATCTAAACATATCACAGACATTGAGCTGGTCTTCAATATCACTTTTAGATATATGGATGACGTCACAAGATTTATTGACGACGTCTATCATATACACCCACCTGAATTGGAAATCAAGGGCACTACAGACTCTTCTAAAACAGCCCCTTATCAAGATCGTTTTGTGCAACGAAACCGATATGGACAGTTTTTTGCCAAGCTGAATGATAAACGTGACGAACTCAATTTAACAGTTGCGAATTTTCGAGATTTTGGATTTCGAGATATGCAGGTTGGTAATGGGGACGATCACGTCGTGGAATATTTTATTTTTTGTGAAGTTGATCATGTTTGATGCACGTTTTATTGTCATTTTGGTTATGCTGTTGTATACCTTGTTCTCATTTGGAGACGTGACATTACGTACCTTGATCGATCTAAAAAAGACTGACATGGTGGGTGTTGTCGATGAAGCAGAAGACGTTAACTATTTCGGAACGCCTTATTCTCACAGTTCCTTTTCATGAGTCTCCGAGAAAATCCTTTGTTTACACTTTGTCCTATTTCTATTGAACTTGAGTTTTGATAATGGTTTTGTTCAAGTGTTAGTATTTTATTGTTGTTTTTATTCAATTCAATAAGAAATTATTTTAACGATTATTATGTATATTGTACAGAGACACATAATTAAGCTCATTTTGGAAGTTATATCTAAACGTTTAGTAAGAGCCATCGTTGAAGTACTCGAAATTTATAAGAAAAAAAGTCTTGATAAACTTTACAATGTTTTTTTTTTTTTTTTCATGAAAATAGCGATCCCATGAATGCGACTATGTCAAAACCAATATGGGCGCGAATGATTACGACTGGATCTGTCGTGTTTTTACTCAGGAGGGAGTAAACACAAATAAAAGGTTATATGGTTACGAACGGTGGACGCCGACAAACGATCTTAGCGTATGTGGTATTTTATTCAGCAAGCAAATCCTAGCAGACCACTTATCATTAAAAAGGGAGATATAGCATAGCGATAGTGAACTACTGCCTAAATTGTCGGGGCCATGGCTGCTTTGTATTTGGAATAAGTACAGGACGTAAACAAATAACCACTTTCAATTAAGTAGACTGGAAACTTTTGCTTCCATGTGTTCGCATGAAGCCATACATTCACATTGGTTATTTCCCCCTCTTTTCAACATTCATTTGTGGTGTTCATGCGTTTCGAATCAAGTTTGTATTGATTTTACCAGATAAAAAGCTGTCGTTAGACAACGTTATGACACCAGTCATATCTCGAACTAAAGCGAGAGCGACAAAACGGACAATGCCGGTAATTAGTTGTCTGACTGCTCGTGCTAGGCTATCGTAATCAAGGTGTCGTCTGGTCCATTGACAATCTATACTAAACATATGCCCTCCAAACGTCTCATACCGCTCTCTGTCGTCTGTCATGTACAGTAACGCTATTTGACGAGGTGTATAACTGTAACTGACACTGTTACGTTGTCTGTCAACAGCATGTTAAGTACACAGCGTGAATGAGGTTTGCATTGTAGACACCCAACCTCGATATCTCTGCGCTAACGGTCCATCGGTGGGATCTCAATCAGTAAACAAGAAGTTGGACATTCGCAATTTTTGTCCACTTGTAATCCATTAGTAAGTACATGGTCGGTATACATTAAACATAGATTTTTCGCTATATTACCTGTTTCG